TGTGTGTGTGTGTGTGTGTGTGTGTGTGTGTGTGTGTGTGTGTGTGTGTGTGTGGTCAGCAGTGTCCTATGTGCTTGATGCTATGATGCTCACATGTGTTGGGCAGATAAGGGAATAGTTTGAGTAGGAAAATGAAGTAAGTCGTATGCTTGGTTAGCTACCAGCTTAAACAGAGTTGAACTCTTACGGGAGATAGTTAGATGCTGCTCTCTATCGCTGTTAACAAAACACAAAATGATAGATTATGTCTCGGAAAATTTCTGTCCTGTGTAGAGTTCATGAAACTTGGAGAATCAGCGCCAACGTGCAATGGAGCGGTGTTGATGGTACGAGACGTAGGACACCACTAAGTCACTGTATCTTTTCATCTGTCAACCATTTAGAACATTTTTCTGCATAAAGGACAGAGACAGAATGCTCATCTGAAATTCAAGGATGCGGGGTCAGTTGACATTTCGCTGTCATGAAACATGTCTTTATCATGTTGTGGCGTCTGTCAGTGACTGTTGTTTGTGTCATGGGGCTCATCAACACATGCTGCTCGTGGCAGAAGTCTGTCTTCATAGAAAGCCTGTGTGTGTGCGTGCGTCTGGTAGGGGTATTACAAGTGGATGACTACATCGCTCTGCCATGACTCACCACCAGATTCCTTCTGTGGCGTTACTGCCATTCTACCACACGCAGATGAATAACATGCACGCACACAGATTATAAGAATGTATGGTACTGGATGACTGATGAATTCATCATTCTGTCACGCTGTTGATAAATTTTACAGTGGCACTGTCACAGTCAGGGAAGCTGGGAAATGTAGTGCCACTGTCAGCCACAGGTCAGATGCAGCCAGCATGTGCGCTACTCATCGGCAGCCAGAGCTGCTACGATTGCACCTAGCTCGTTCATCACTGCCACGGATGAGGATGCTGAAATTAACTGGACTCTCATTCTCTTCCCCTGCCTCGTGCTCTCAGGCTCTCTTTTCCTCCTCCTTCAAGCGTATGTCCTTTGCTCACTGCCTCTTTGTCTCGCAGAGGCCTCAGACGGCTTCTCTGTTCGTTTACCGCGACTTTGTTCCCGTTTTGCGCTTTTTTTTTTTTTTTCTTTCCCCTTTTGTCTTAAATTCACCGTTCTGTCTTATTTCTTGTCTACATTGACTTTCTTTCTCTCTGTCTTTAACACCTCATGTTTGAAAAAGAAGAAAATGGAGGTTGAGACGAGGGCAGACACAGTGGCGTTAGACCACTTTTGAAGTCGGACAGTTTTAGCAGTAAAGACCATTTAGTGCTATGGCACTGAACGTGGAGTAGCAAAGCTGTATAGCATGTCTACTTTCATAGTTGAGCATCCCATTAGAAAAATACTAATGAAAAATACTGCACGTGAACTGCTGCAGCAGTTTGGAAACGAGTCTTGTTTGACCTTGCTATTGATCCAGTGAGGAAATGTGGTTGGATGCTGCAGTTCCTGTCCTGTTTCAGTAGATTTGAGAGAAAGGCGTTTTTAATGAAAAATACACAGGAAGTTATTGATTTGGCAAATATGTTTGCTCTCTCATTATATCTGCAATTTGCTACTTGGATAAGCAAATTGGGTAGAGACAGAATAGAATTAAAGTAGATGCGTTGAACATAGAAGTTGCCTACGCCAGCATTTAGCTATTGTTTTGATGGCTTGTCCTTTTGCAACTGGCATAGTGAATACTCCATGTCACATTTTACCACTCGTAATTCACATGCCTTTGTCCATTAAGTGAGGATATTTTCCTTCCTCTTTGTAGCAAGCAGATACTTTGAAAGCAAGTCTTTTTGGTCCATTGCTGTTGAAGGAGACACTTGGCAAAATAGCTTCAGACAATTGACACACATTAAGTAGCATTGGACTTGTCAATTCATCCACACACGATTGCCTCTGACCTCCTTGAGAGAGAATCTGCCAGGTACATCTTTGCTTAATGGCCCTCATCCCTTCAAGACTTGGCCAGTGATGTTTGGAGAACCCTTGACGGTCCTGGCGGAGTACATATTGAACAGGGGCTCCACTTCTCTGCTCTTGTATCCTCTCTTCTTCTCATCTCATCATAACGCCCCAGGCAATCTCTTAATTAGCCTCCTTAATTAGGTGGTTTCTGGTTCTCTCCGCCAGGGTAAATTTTGATCACATTCTGCTGAGAAGCAGCACTTCCCTCTGATTCGCCTTGGAGTGCCTTTAAAGCGTGAGGTTTGTCATTGGGTTCTCCAGCTGAAGACACCTTTGCATTCTTGCTTTTTATGGTTTTCTTTGTATTTGCCTATTTACTATTGGGGAATTCTCGTTTTTACAGTTTTATCCAGGAAGAAATGCATCATGATCCATGATGTTGTGTGCGTCAGCATTTTAATTTTAACCCTATACTGTCATCTTCATGGAAATATGACCTGACTTTAGGGATCAGGTTTCACAAGGTGGTAACCTACATGACTAGTTTAGTTAAGCTGCATTTTAAGCATTTCTGTACACCTGGGACTGCCAGCTTTTATTCTTGAAAAACACCATAAATAACTCCATTTAGTCTGCCCAACTGCAAAAGTAATTCATTCTTTATAGGTTAATTTCATAATTACTTTTACCAATTAAATCAATCAATTAAATATTAAAGCCATGTTTGACAGAGAAAACCTCAAACAAGCATTGCGACCTGGGCAAGATTCAGAATTTCATTTGGACCTTTTGCAAAACTGCCCCTTCTCAGAATATCTGGTAGTTTCCCTTGGTAGCTCAGAGTGTGGCATTCCAAAAGGCAGACTTTCTTTGTTTCTTAATAACAACATAGAAAGCACTAAGGAGATGGCACCCACCTTATTAAACCTGATTCCTTAGTGATATCTCCTAATTATTGAGTCAGAAATGTCGCACGCTCTAAGCCAGTCCTGGGTTTGTTTATATCTTGGAAAGGCAACCTTTGGATTGGTGCTTATCACCAGTACTTGTTCTCCATGGTGAATAAGGGCTCATAAGTGATCTATATTTACAAATCACTCCTGGGTTGCATGTGTAGACTTTACTTGGCCAAACTGCTTTCCTGAGCTTGTTAATTTTTAAAAATTCCTATTATGGGTTGTGTTACAAATTTATTTTGTCTAAGCTGTTGAACAAGAGCACAGTTTCTGAACTTTGCCTCTGTAAACCACCACAGTGGATTTCTAATAAAGTAGCACTGTGTGATATATTGTGCAGGCTCTTGCTACAGCAGTGCTTTACATAGTTCATCTATTTCAAAGGTTCAAAAGAAATTGGACAGTTAACTGATATGCAGTTTCGTGGCCAGGTGTGGCCTGTTGTTTCATTTTAAATTAAGAAGATAAAAGGCTAGGAGTTGTTTTCAAGTGTTAAATTAGCATTTAGTAGTTCATGAGTATTCTGACCAGCGAGGCGTCATTTAGGAATGAATGTTGATAAGATTTTGTTCACACCTGCTTCAGTCTTTATCGGTTTCAGTTTTCTGTGTGCAGAAAAAGTAGGTTTACACAGGTTTTTATTATCTCAGTCACTAAACCAATACTGCCTCCTACTGTCTGTACTGGAGGACATTGAGGGTACAAAGGACCCCCTGACTGTTAAAGGCCAAACAGAGCAGTTTCTTCAGGTCACTGCCTTCAATGCAGATTAGTAGAACACAAGGTACTGCACACAGCCTCAGCATGGAAAGTATGTAGCTCCAGAAGCACCTCAACTCTGGCTACTTTATAGGTTCTCTCACTGACTGGCTGAAAAGCAGATATTGACTTTAATGTATTATTTATAATCTGAAAATGTTAGAATTATGTTAGTTTGTCCACTGAACTTTGAGACCGTGAAATGTAGGAGCTATGTAAAAGAATATCTACCATTGCTAAATGGGTGGGGCAGTATTTTGTACCACTTGAATTTAACTTGAGTCTACATTTATGACTCTGCTAAATTTCCTTTTCTGCTGCGATGGAGTAGAAAAGGACAATTCTGAAAAGTATGGCCTTGTTCACACATTTATGGATCCTACTGTATGTGTTGGGCAATAATTCAGAATTGCTGTTAGGGCTCAGCCAAGAATGCATTTTCTTGTGGTCTGCTGCGTTTGTCTATTTACCCCTCGGCCCACTCCCCAACAAATGCACATTAAATATAAAACAAAGTAAGCAGTTGATGTTTGGTTGCACATTGAACAGTGTGTATTTTGCAGAGTCTGCTGCCAACTGTGGCATCGGTCACGCTTTTATTTATTCTCCTTGAGTTGAGCCCCATATGCTTCTATCTTCCCGTTTACAGACATGTCCATATTTGGCCAGTGTCCCGCACAGGACGACTTCTACCTGGTGATGTGCAGCCACTGTGGTCAGGTAGTCAAGCCACAAGCCTTTCAAGCACACTTTGGTAAGTGATACACACGCACACACACGCCTTGATGTATCTATATATTCAGTTATTTTTCATGCAGCTGGGGTGCAGAGCTAGATTTCCTAGATTCAAGTAGTAGCAATAATCCACTACAACAACGAGGTGGCTGTTACTGCAGATACTCAGCAAGGTTTGGGAATAAAAAATTGGGGGGACTCTATATCCATACCCCCCCCATACCAAGAGTAATGTGATGTTTCTTTGATTAACACACTCCTAGTAGTGCTTCTTCTTTCTGTGTACCCCCCCACCCAGTTTTCTACTCCACTCCACTCAGTAGCCTATTTATTTACTGTTTGTGTGTTATAAATTCTTGTGTTAATATTTGATAGGTCTCTCTCAAGTCTTTCCAGTAGTGGGCTGTTTTAACAGATACAGCTCAGTTAAGATTTCTAGTACTGTTAAGACATTAAACTGGGGATGTTTCAATGGCCACTAAATACCTGGAAGTGCCTGTTCTCTGAAGTGCAGCAGCAATTACACTTATCAAGGTCAACCACAAGAGGGAGGTATAGCAGCACGTGGCTTCTAGGGTAAAACTGTCCTTGGAACTGTGTGAACATCACTCAGAGACTTCTCCATCATTGTTAAACAGTATAGATATATGGGTGTGTCTGAAATACAGCCTCTATTTTGAGGTGTCAGGGGGTTTTGAAGGAACTGTAGATAAACACTGGATGGCAGTACCAAGTGTAAAGTAAAACAATCATTATCAGAACACGTGGCTTTACTCCATATGCAGGGGTTGCATTGTTAATGCAGACTGTGCTCTGCTTGGTCCATGGTGTAGAAGCACCCAGAGATTTACAGTGATTTCATCATGTTTCTTGATATTTGTTTCTTCAGCTGTTTGCTGCTGCTGATTCTTTGTGTGAACAGATTGTCTGTAGTGTGTTTATCATAATGAATGCACCAGTCTCTTTTTCGTCTTTTGCAACATCTTTAAGTTCTGTTCTCAAAATCAGGCGGTGAAGCTAAACCCAAAGATTCCCCATCACAGTAAATCTTTCGATTTGAGCCGCTGGATGCAAATAATTACTTTTTTAAAAGAAGCTTTTAAACCATGCAGTATCAAAATTATTAAAAAAAAACAAGTTTCACTTAATGAACTTATTGCATCAGCTATAACCACACAGTCTAAATCTAAGTGAAACTCTGTAGCCATGTATGTGTGGCCATACAGAGCAGCAGTGCTCTTGCTGTGTTTTACCCCATGTCCTCTCTGTGATGTCATTATGGGAGGACCCCGTGCAGCGTTAACGTGGGGAAAAAGCACTGATCTCAGCACCATTGAGATGGTCTCAATATGATATTAGCGTGCTTCTTTGAGCCCATCTGTCTCCCTTTAGGTGTCTGTGCTTCTCGGCTGAGGCTGAGCCCAGCAGGGGTGACACTCACCACGGAACGGGAAGCTGCTGCTTTGCTTGGCGTTTTATGCATTTGTTTATGAACTTGTCTAACAAAGACTCCTCAGAGATCGAGACATACAGAATTTTACGCTCAGTGTCTTGAGCTCAAATGGTAAAAGAAGGGAACCACGGTGGATTTGAGTTTCTGGTTAACTCAAGGTTTTAGTTTTACCTTTTTTTTTTTTAAATAGGTTACACTTTGTCTTTACTTAAACATGATGCCTGTGGAGTTTGTAGTAAGGCCATTACACTTTTTGATTTTCTTTCTTTTTTTCACTTCTGCAGGCTGGGATTCCCCCATGCCATTGAGCCAGCTGTTTGATAATATGAAACATGATATTAAGGCTCCTCCTATGTCTTGTGTCTGTCCTTTTTTTTTTTTTTCCTTACCTTTTTTCCTCCCCTACATCAGTTATGACTACCATTGATGCTGCTGTTGGCTTTTGTTGTTTTGTAGACAGAGCACCACTGTCTCACTTGGATATCTTGTTGTGAGTTTGTGTGCAGAGGTTCGCTGTTGACTGGGACAGGTCAAGACAGTGAGAGGAAGTGGGAGGGAGGCAGTGAAAGAAAAGCTTTTGGGTTGTTTGGCTTCTTAGAAGTGGGAGGGGAAAATATCTGGAGTGTAGGTTGAATGGATGTGCAGGAGAGGCCCCTAGGTGTGGAGAGGGCACGCTTAAAAGCAGTTTTTTCCCCTTTCTTTCAGAAAGCAGAAGTTTAACAGTTAGGTGTGTGTGTGCGTGTGTTCTTGAGGAATATAGCTGAAGGCAAATGGGAGTGGTACCTTTTTTGAGCATTCGTATTCTTTGTAGCCACTCCACTTTTTTTGTTACCTGTGACAGGGAGTTTTGTCCCACAACCCACTCCCCAGCTTTACCATATAGTTAGCTATAATCACACAAAATGGGACTAAATCAAAAGACAGTTGAGAGGTGACTGCACACATAAGCATGATTAGTTTTGGGCAGAGGGTCTAGGTGACCATACTTAGCAGAAGACTTTTCATGTTACTGTTATTTATTTATTTATTTTTTGACCATTTAAGAAGCTTTGAAAAAAAGTTAAAATACTTTTTCCTATAATCCTGGTGGTTTTCCTTTGGCCAAAACCTCTTTCGTGGAGGTGCCCGTTTTTATTTATTTATTAATCATGCAGGAAAAACACTGGTGACAGTAGCCAGCTGACACAGATTCTTGGTAGAAAATTACTAATGCTTCTGGTGCTGATGCACCTTTTATCTCTCATTTCTTTTAAGCATGCAGTTATTTTTTGTCCTGTCTTTCGTTGCTGCTTCTCAGAGCTGACTATGAGTGTTTAGTCAAATGTTTATTTGCCGTCTCTCTTCTGAAATTCTCGTTAGTCACCTTTGTCTGTCTTGTTTCTCTGTATATCCTTCAGTTTTGCTCACATGCAGCTTCCAGCAGGAGATTCTCTCCATGTCAGATGTTTCCTCACTGCTGAAAATTCTCAGTTTAGTTTAGGTGAGGGAGCTCCCTGGATTGAGCGTGATCGAGGCAGGGCGTATGACACCCACGCTCACGTCTGTCAGTCTCTCTTTCTCTACATGTAATCAGAGCAGCAGGAGTGTATGTCGGTCTGTGTCACCCAGAGCGCCCACTATTTCTGTTAGAGAGCTGCTGCTTTTGCCAAGATTCAGATCTCTCTGCTTCATGCTTCCAGTCATTTCTGAATTAAAACAAAAAAATCCTTCATGATGTTTTTGTCTATCTTTTTCTTTTTAATTGTTTATGCAGTGGCAGCTAATCAACCTTAAACTATGAAGTGCTTGTGTAGTGGTGACATTGGGACAGCAGCTTTTGTTGTACGCTGTTACTAAAAATAGGATGTGATGTGAGCCTTTTTTGAAAGTAGATCTGTAATTGTCTTGTGTAAATGTGTAATTGGTGTGATTTGTGTTCACACAGTTTGTTCATTTTAGAAAGCAGTGTGCTTAAAGACAGCTAGTTTTGGATTTAAGCAGATGAACATTTCCCCCCCCTCCAAGTTCTATTTTTGTCTTTCCATCCACAACTAAGCATCACTCTAACCTTTTCTGCTGTCTTACTGACTTTCATCAGTTTGCACAGCAGCTGTTATAAGAAGCTCAGGCAAGAAAGAAAGCTCTTGACCTGTTGGCCAGTTCTATTTCAAGATGCAGCGCATGAATCACCAATACTGCTTATTAGCTGTTCAGCTAACATGCTCACAGCTGTTAGAGGGAGATTTTTAATGTTTCCATTTCTGTTTTTTTTTATTTATTTTATTTTTTTTTATGAGTCACAACTATGTTTAGTCCTATAGTAGTGTTGGATTATAATTAGTGTGTTAACTATTGTTTTAATGCCTTTCTGGTTTGTTTGTTATCATTTTAGAGAGAAGACACAGTTCGGCTAGCAAACCAGCGTCCACCTCGCCGTTTCCTGCGTCTGCCAGGAACCGGAGCAGCGGCAGTGGGATTGGGCCCGGGGTGGGCTCGGTGTCCGTAGCTGCAGTGGCTACCGGAGGCATCCTTGGTCGACCTTCAGCTGCTAGCTCAAGCTTACCCTCCTCTTCATCATCGTCCTCCAATCCCAAACTTGTCAAACCAGCCAAAGAGAAGCTGCCAGGCGTTCAGCGAAGACCCCCCTTTGCCCCCTTCAGGATGAACCAGCCAGAAAAGATGTAAGTTTCACTCTGCACAGGTGCAGGGTTGTTACAACCACATTTCTGGCAGACATACTAAAGTCTAATTTAAAAAAAACAATTTTGAAATGGAGACTACTTGTAATAGTTTTTGTAGCAATACTAGTACTTGAAAATAAGGTACTACTGCTTATTGATGGTTTATGTGGCAGTCAGAGCTATTTGCCTTTACTGCTTGTTTCTCGGTAGAAATCTGATTCAGTCATTTATACGCGAGTGTTGCTTTTGACCTTTTTCTTCTTTTGAAGGTGTTTTATATATAGCGGAACATTAGTAGTGATTGTCCTCGCAGGGCCATCCATATGTCCACATCTGTCTCTTACCATACGCTTGTCACTGGCTCACTGTTCCTAACTCTCAGCTTCCTCCTCACCACCCTTTTCATCGCTGTCATCTTCTCTTCCAGCCTTCCAGCTGTCAAGATGGACAAGATGCATCCGAAGCCGGACACGCCAGCTAAGCCGGCGCAAGCTCCATCTGCCCCCGCCACCACCTCATCCTCCTCTACATCCTCCTCTAGCACCACTGTGAGCTCCAACACTACCGCCATCACGACCTCCTCATCAGCCCTAAAAGCAGGCCTTAACTGTCCCTCCATACCAAAGCCTCCATTACTGGCCCCAGGCCAGATTCCCAATGGCAAGGGCCACCTCACTGTCCTCTCGGAGAAGAAGCAGGACAGCAGCAGTGCGAGTAGCAGACGTCACGTTAACAAGAAAGTCACAGGTCAGCTGGAATGTGGAACGAGGGGGGACTAGTTACATTTTGTCATTTTTTTCAGAGTATTTAAAAGTCTCATACAGCATTACATGCTTAGCCTGAATGTTTTTTTTTTATAACCTTGCTTTTTAATCTATTAGACGAACCTCCCATTAGGTTCCTATTTTATTGCCTATGAAAGAGTGTAACTAGCAGACATCATTTCAGAATGTTGTCGGCAGCTTAAACAAAATGTCCCATACATTATCTTAGAGGGGAAAGGCTTATGTAATGTTAATGTTTTGCATAACACAACTTGTCCCAAATTATGAAGGTAACAAATGTTTTTCTCCTCCCCCTTTGCTCTGCCATCAGAACGTGAGTTTAATCCAGATATCCACTGTGGCGTTATAGATGTGACATCTCGAAAACCCTGCACAAGATCCCTAACATGCAAGGTAACAAAGTCCCTGCTTTGCATGCTGCAACTGAGCTGTATAAATGCATTTTATTTTTAAAGAGAATTGGGCTGGTAATGCTCAGCAGTCTTTCTTGTTGTCAGCAATGAGGATCAAAGCACACTTGCTAGATTCACAAGATGATCTAACGTGTTCTTGACATACTTGTGGAGGCAGCAAGCTTCAAACCTCTGGGTGAGCGTTTCCCAAGGCAGCCACAGGCTGACAATTGAGGGCCGGTGTTTCTAGGACACATGCTGTCAGCTCAGATGGTTTGCCACAAAGAGGAGCACAGCGCAACTCTGAGGAGCCTGTGATGATGAACTCTACTGTGAAATATAGGAAACTACAATGTCTGTGTTTAATGAAACGGCAGAATGCCGTCACTCGTTGTGTTTTAATATAAGTGGAGCACTTTGGCATACAGTTCAATTATGTCGTATTATTCTATTTAATGTGTAGAATATTACCAAAGTTATTATTTGCATTTCAAAGGATGGTTGTGATTGATTGTGATTGATGTTGTAAAAATTTGTTAGAGCCAGAGCTGCCAAGTATAAACAGCAATAAAAAAAAAGGAAATTAAGAGCGGTTCTAAGGAGAACTCTCTCCAGCTCTTACCATAATGAAAATTCTATTGACTTTACAATGTCTCAACAGACACATTCCTTAAGCCAGCGGAGGGCGGTGCCAGGGCGGAGGAAGCGCTTTGACACATTGCTGGCAGAGCACAAGAACAGAACAAGGGAGCGGGAGAGGGAGCGAGAACTCCACCAAAATCATTCCCAGCAAAACCCCCCTCTCAGGGACCCACACCCCTCTTCCCACCTCACTTCTGGCCATGATGCCCACCAGGTGGCTCATGGAAACGGCCCAGCCCTTGATGCCACTAAGCCTTTGCCAATTGGAAAGCCCAAATTTCACAGCCCTGGTCTTCCACGGTAATTGCTGTGCCACACTTTGATTTTTTGCTGTGCTTGTATTGTGTCTGTGTGTAGCTTTGCTCACACAGGCGTAAAACAGACAGTTTTAATTTGATTCAGCTTTGATGAATATGGTGAAAGTGACTGGGCACAATTTCTCTCCATTAGACTAAACAGCAGTCACGGAGGTGGTATTTCTGGAGACTCTGCAGCAGTCCACGAGTCGCTACACCATCCCCAAATGACCCCCGATGGCTTTTCTAGACCATCCAGTGATGAGGGAGAGAATGAGGAGCGTGAGGACAATGCTGAGAAACTGGACTGTCACTATTCAGGTTATCATCCACGACCGGCAGCTGTAAGTGCACTTCATCTGCTGTTACCCCCAAGGAACTTTCCCTTTTTTATTACACTGGTCAAGCCATTAAAGATTACAGTTCTCATCTGTTCTTCCCTTCTATTCCCAGTACTGTACTTTTGGGAGTCGACTGTTTGGGAGAGGCTATTATTCCTTTGACCGGCGATGGGACAAAGTGCGATGTACCCTCACCACAATGATGGAAAAGCATGTCAACTCCCAAATGTGGAAGTAAGTCAGTCTTGGACTCATCCTTTTTTCTTTTTTTTTCTTTTTTTTTTTAAATTTATGAGTCAAGTTAATAATTGGCTAATTTCTGATATTCTTTGCTTTAGGAAAATCCCCTTAGCCTTGGAGAACTCCTCCTCTGTTGCACCCACCCATAGGACAAGCACAAATTCCCACTGTAGCACTCCCTCTTCAGGCTTCCTGGGCCCTCCTGCCACCTTGCCCCAGACTCCTTACAGCCAATCCTACGAGGGCAAGTCAGTGCTCTCCTATGGGACCACCTTAAATGCCCGCAGCTCGCCGCAGGGTGGGGCTGAGCACCCGGCCTATGGCACCACACAAGCCCGACAAGTGTCTTCGTCGCCGCAGATGCCTTCAGCCCACTTGTCCTCATCCTCTTCTTCTTCAGCTCCTTCCCTAACCTCAGGCCGGGTGCCTAAGTCCCGTTCCTCTGGCAGCAGCACTACCAAATCGTCATCATCTTTTAAGCCCAAGGAGAGCTCGTCTGGCTCCTCCATAACCGTCATCCCCAACGCCACCAGTGGAGGAAGCACTGGAGCCAACAATACCAGTAGCGGCGCTAGCTTCAGCTCGGGGAAGAAGAGGAAGAACAGTTCTATCCTCTCTTCATCCCATGGCTCCACTGAATCTTCCTCTTCCAATGCCAACTTCTCTTCCTCCTCTTTTAAGAAGAACTGTGCAAATGTCGGCAGCTCAGGGAGCACCTACCACCACAGCTCATTAGGTCCTTCGTCCTCATCGTCATCCTCCTCCCATAGTGGGGTTCACAGTGTGGGGCTTAACTGTGGGCCTACTGTGCGAACAAACTCCCTTAGCCTCAAGGCCGAGCTCTCTGGCAGTTCCGCCGGTGGCTCCTCTGGGCCACCAGCACGAGGTCCTCCCTCGGGCAGCCCTGCAGAGTCCATCAAGCGTATGAGCGTGGTAATGAACAGCAGTGACTCAACACTTTCATTGGGACCTTTTGTCCACCACCAATCCTCATCTGACCACCACACCAGCTTTAGTCACCACTCCTCAGACGGGCGCCTGGAGGCCAAGAAGCGCAAAAGCGCTTCTGCCTCCAGTGGCGTAAATAGCGGAGGTGGGGAAGGTGGGCTCGGAGTAGGAGGTGGGGGGCCAGGACCAGGTAGACCCAAAGTGGCCAAGTCACCTGCCATTAACAACATCCATGGGAAGCATGGGCGGAGTATACCAGGGACACCGGGTCTACCCAACAACTCTCATTTACATCAGGTTGGTTTTTGAGACACATTCAGGATGTGTTTTTGTTTTCACTGATTGCATCTTGTGAAAGATTTTGTTTCTTTCTCAGTTCACTGCACTTAAAATTTGGGGATGTGGGTCATCTTAGGCTAAGGATGGATATTATTAAGATTTTAAGGATACTACATTAAACCATGATTACAGTTCCACATTTTTCAGATATATATTAGGTCACGGCAATTTTCTTATTCTGAACACAGACTAATAAAAGTGTAGTGTATTACTTCAAAATAAATGAATAAAGTATGACTATGAACACCTCACAGTTCTGAGCTATCATGCACATAAACTGCATCCTCCAAGCAAAGTGCCCAAGTGGTATTCAGCCATAATCCTTTTTTAAAAAAAACAAAACAAAAAACTTTTTTCTTTTGTTTTTCATGTGAATTATCAAAATGAATGAAATGAAATATTAAAGAACCTGAAGGGCTGATATAAACTGAGTAAAGATGAGGAAATGAGGTATTCACAGTATTTGATATATAATGCCAAAAGTATCAGGTGATAAGACATTTCTGATTACATTCAATGATCTTGCCCGACATTTGAATCTCCCAATTTAAAAAAAAAAAAAAAAAGGACAAAGAAATAATTCTTGCTAGAAATTAAAGCCTCATCTTAAACTGCAAAACTAGTTTATAGACTGATGACTTTACAGCCATTTTAAGATGATGTTTTTCTCCTTTCCTTTTCCAGCCAAAGGCTCGTCCCTGACAGTGGTGTCCGGCTTCAGTGTATGAAACTGGCAGGCGGGCGGGAAATAATCCAGAGTGGTCCGCATACTGCTCTGGAATGCATGAGGCCTTCTGAAATCAAATCCACATTACTCTCAGCTTCCCACAATCCTCAGGGTGGAGATAATTTGGACTGCCCAATGATGTATATGTGGTCCTTACCGTTTCTCCCAAAGCCATGTGTGTGTGAGGTGTGGGCAGGGGGAACTGAATGGGGGATAGCGTGGAGCGCCAGGGATCTAATGCGCAAGCCAAGGATCCCCCCCCCACGCCACTGTTGTCCCAGTATTCTGAGAGGTCTTCCTGTTTGGTCGGAGGAACAATTGCAACAGCCATCGGTCTCTTATCCTGTAGTTCAAAGGTCATTGGGTTCAGGTTAAGGGCTGCTGCAACAAGCCGTCATGACACTGAGCAACTGGGGAGACAACGAGCAGATCTCTTCCGTGTTTGTTTAAAAAAAGAAAAGAAAAAAAAGAGTGTGTGTGTGTGTGTGTGTGTGTGTGTGTGCTTATGTGTGTATGAGTAATGTTTTTTCTCATGTCAAATTCTGCTGGACTACTGGAATTTCCAACTTAATTACACCCCCAGCGCCTGATCTCAGAAGCCTTGCAAGCAAAGCAGTAGGAGAAGCAAACTGTTACTTGCAAAAACCTTAAGAAAAATACACACAATCACCTTGTTTCACTTCTTGTTAGTGTGATTCTCCCTGGCGACATGTTGAGTTACCTCGGGTAACATGCAGTAGCCTGAGACGAGCCCGTAGGGATGATCTGGTCACTTCTTTTATTACCCGGAATAATTATGCAAGTGTTACCTTTCTATGATTTCTTATGATCTTTTTACACTGAACTACAATGGGGCTTTGTAGACCTGGTGAAGACGGTTGTGCTTTTAAATGTGAAAAGGACACCTGATGTGCCCATTCGATTGGATCTTTTGTCAGAGAGGGAGAGCTCGGTCTCAAGGAAGCCTGTTAATTTTCGGAATCTTTTCAGCGTGCAAAATGATAGCCACAGTAGACCTACCACCAACTGTGAACAGCACTAAATAACTACTTTCTCCACAGGCACTGCTTTAGTTGTCCACAAAGCAAGCCAAAAAGCTGCTATCAGCTTTGCCAACTACTTTTTTTTTTTTTTTTTTTTTTTTAAAAGTAAAAGGTGGGCAGTCTTGCTTCTGAAGCGGTGATGGCGCATTTGTGGATTGAAGAAAATCTGTGCAAGCTGTATAACTATAGCCACAAGTTACTTACACCGCTGAGTGAATTCCACAGCTGTATGTGGGCAGATGTGAATTGTATTTTATTTTATTTTTTAAACATAGGGAATCAGGTATGGTACGTCTTAACTGGAGCAAACTTGCACGTCACCTGTCTTCTGTGGGTATGATTGTCCCTCCTGTGTGTAACCACTACCCAAGCTCTGGACGTTACAGTTTGAATGCCTCGCAGTAACACTATGTTCAGAAGAGATTTGTCACAGTAGACGAGGCATTGTACTCTTGTTCCGCTGTCAAAATAGTCTTAAATCAGGCAATACTTGCCCCACTCGTTGGGAAATAGCTTAGGTCAAGAGGTCTCGGGGACGAGCGTTACAGTGTGAGATTCATGGAGATGGCTTCACTGGATATAGATCTTAGATCTTTTGGCAACACCTGTTTTATGGAACCTCCACTGATGTCAATTAGTGTGGAAAACCTAGTACTTTTTCTTTTTTTTTAAATCTTCAGTTAGCTTTTTTTCTTTTCTTGTAGCCTATGTATCAAACAAGTATTGAAGTATCCCTATTTGAGAAAACATATTTTGTTAACAAATTGTACATAGTTCAAATATGTATTTTTGCACAGGCATTTTTTTGTACACGCAGAATTTTTGGTACAATTTTGAAAAATTATTTATTTAGTAAAAAACAAAAAACAAAAAAAAGAAAGTCAGAGAACATGACTATTTGAAGTGGTTCACTGCCAAGTCTATATAATGCAATATGCCTATATGTGGAAGCTGAAGCATCTCATGAATCGTGTACTGGGATCCTTTAGGGAAAGAAGTGTTGTCACTGTAGCATGTGTCTGTATGACAGGAAACCTTTATTCACTTTTCAAGGTCTCAATCACATGTGCTTTTACAACACATTTTATGTTGCCTACAAATTAACAAAATAAGTTACTCTGTGACCCAATTAGCCTGTGATTCTGCGATGTCGTGCAGGCTCGAAGCTGTGCCCCCGCTGTCTAACCATCTTTCGTGGACTCTTCAGTCGTAACACTTTGTAAACCTTAAACACATTTCATGATTGAAACATGTTCTTTTATTCCAAAAAAGAAAATAGGCTGAAGGGACTTCAGAAATTATTGCAAGGAATAGGAACATTTTTGCGGTCCAACTGCTCGCGTCGTTGTTGCCAAACGAGTAATTTGAATCACAGCTTTTAAAGAACGCGTTGAGCAGCTCTTAAAAGAAATATCAAATTAAGAAAGTGCCTGAATTTGTTTCATCCCAACTGTTTGAGGACAGTATTTGTTGGGTTGTTTTTCCCCTTACTTGAATGTTCAAAGTATTTAGGGGATTTGGCTTTAAGTCTGCCTCTGAACCCTAAATGTAGTGGAACTTGAGCTTGTCAGCTGCCCATTGCGAAACACTTGTTCTGTTTTTGTTTTCCATTGAGATTTTCTTAGCATCGGTGTGTGGCCTAAGCCCCCTCCGGGTTATTAGGGTTTGTATTTAAAAACTTCACTCAAGTGTTTTGTTTACCCTCGATCTCTACTGACATCTCGACTTTGTTTCCAGTACAAGGAAACATTACGAGGATGTTTTCTTTCTTAGCACCGTAGACTTGGAATGTGAAAGTGAGAGAAAATACAGCTTGTCTGGGAAGAAAAAAATAAAACCACCATTCATACTATGTAAAAGCGTGTATAGTTTTTTTTTTTGGTTTTGTTTTTGGGGTATACATTATCAGAATCATTTTCAGCTGGACTTATGTATTGGCTGCTATGTAATTCATGAACAAAACATAGGTTAGAATTAATATTTAAAGTAAAGATTGTATAGTATATTTGTTTTGTAACAAGTTTCTGTAAATAAAATAATTTATACTGCTATTTATAAGAAACGATGTGTCTGCCTCTTTCTTAAAACAAACAGGTGATGCAATGTCAACAGTTAAACAAGTTTTATTTACACAACTGAAGAGTTACTTTGACAAACAAAAGGTCTCAGTATGCCAAAAAAGAAAAATACAAGCCCCTTGCTTTAATGAAGATGGCAGCCTCCGTGGTTACATGTTAATAACTCTTGACAGCTTCTGGACTCGGTTGAGAAGCAAGTCGCCCTTCTTAATGGTCTCCTGGTACTGCCAGTTTTTGCTATCCGGTCTGCATGCAAGAACAGGACAAAATTTTAGTGCTCTGGGAATTACTCGAAGTATTGTGGTTTCAATGATAGTTTCATTACCTGTTAGTTTCCACAATTTCATTAACTTTGTCAATTTTACAGTGGAGGCGGCCAGCAGCTATGAATCGGGACAGCTCCCTGTGGGAAGGAGATGGGCATATGTTGCGTTAGCCAGGACCAAAAACCCAACACCAGCATTCCCTAAAATCTGAACAGGGAATTTGGACAACTTTATTTTGACAAATGTTTTCTGTGAATTATTTAGGAACTTAATGGTGACACAAATGTCCAAGAAATACTACAACAACCAACTGCTGCCCTGTAGCTTCATCATATGTAACAGGCATTAGGAGCAAGAATCGCCCCCCAACAGGAAACAGCATTAACATAGCATTAACTCCCACATTTATGCTGATAACACCCAGTTTTACATGATGACCATCGGCCTATAGACTCCTAATTATATTCTTGAGCAGAAGTAATTCTGATTTAGTAAGTTTCCAATGTACCATCCTGATAACTGTTATAGACAGATGGTCCAGTTTGAATGTAACAATTTATAGCACAAGTTATTCCAAGACACTAAACCTCATCTATATACATCTTTTCAAGCATGTATATTATGTGATATGTGCTTTGCTTTGTTTACAGTGTAATTTGTGCTTACTTTATATTTACGTGTTCAAAATAAAACAAAGCATACCAAGAAAAATAAATTTGCACACTCAAAGACAGACAGTTAAGTTTTTCAGTGTTGCCTTCTTGGATGTATTGGCACTCAATAATATTTTCCAAATCTTGCAGAGTTACATAGTATATGCACAGGTGTTTAAAAACAAACAAACTCACTGGTCAATGAACTCTGTGCTGACACCAAATGCCTCAGCCATGTATCCCAAGGTAAGAGATCGGTAGGACTCTAGCAGCTGGCTGTAAGCCTGAATCCTCATCTCCCTCACGTAGTAGCGGTAGTGTGGGGCAAAGAGCCAGTCCTTCTTCATCTCCTGCTCCACCGTGGCTGTGGCACAAAGTTTCACATTTAATATTTATGCTTTCAGAATATGGCAAAGCACCAACACAAGCATAGATAATGGCTGTAAGTACAGTCTCTTCGCATTCAGATGTTTTTCTTGAGAATACACACACAACAACAACAACAAAAAAACCTCACCCAGGGACTGGAAGAAGACTGAGTAACGGCACTCGTAGAGTGAGAAAAGGTACTGGCGAACAGAGGGCAGACTGTGGAGCACCTCCAAGATCTCTGCTCCCTTTATAACCTACAGAGAAACATATTTAGTACATTTACCAGCAGACATGTTGCCAAGTTACACATCTTGTGAGCAGACACGAGTCTCTCCCCTACCTTTTCACGGAGGTCAGGCCTCTTGAGAGCAATCATGCAAACATAAACGGTGTAGGTAACAAACGTCTTGTAGTCCATGAGTTCGTAGGAAGTGAAGGTGGAGACTGTGTCGAGGAAGAGCTCAGCAGCTTGCTTGAAATCCCTGATGGCCACACAGTACAGGCCCTGGTAAACCTTCAGACGATTTCTCCTGTCCCAGTCTCCCCCCTCCTCGATAAGGCTGCGGTGAACAGAGATGCACAGACAGATGAGTATTAAATAGAAAAGAAAAAAAAAAGTGCTGACAGATTTGTTTCAGAACAAAGCTTTAAGAGCCTTTACCTCTTGGCTTTCTCCGAGTTGCGTGTGATGAGATCACTATCCATATAAAAGAGGCCAATCCTCAGGAGGTAGAAGACGATGTCTAGTCTGTGACCCAGAGCCACAGTTTTGTCATAAGTCTTCCTGAATGCAGTTAGGGCGCCCTCCTGTGGTGACATCAGATAAGATCAGGCAATAGCCAATCTTACTTTTTGTACATATAACTTTGAAGTGGCAACTGTGATAACCTTCATGCAAACAGCTCTAAGAGAATAAAGGGAAAACAAAATTAAAAACTGTCATTTCCAGCAATTTAACTGCTGTAAACTTAGTGCTGACATCAAAGGGAATTGTCAACCCCTTTGCTGTGATATCTGGGAACTCCAAGGAGCAGCTATTGTTGGAAAAATTCTGAAAACTAAACTTTATTCAATATGTTTCACCCAAAACACTTAGAAGCAGATATGTGTTGTAGAGTGTTAAAACTAAAAAGATATTCCAACATGCACAGGCATTAACAGTGTTCATTTTCCTACCTGGAAACTTGAATATTCTGACTGCTCTGAAAACATACCTTGTCTCCAATTCTGATGAGATACTCTGCCTTGGCCATCATAGCGTCTCGGATCTCACTCTCTCCCAGGTTCTTCTCTGCATCCTCCAGCACATCATCCAGGCGCTTCAGCTCCTCCTCGTTGGCCTTTTTCATTTTACTCAGCTGGTCACTATCCAGTTGCCACTTCAGCTCCTTGCACAGACTCTCGTAATACGGCGCCATATCTGAAACACAGAAAGCACGGTGGTGTAAAACGTGAAACATCGCTAACATGGCTAACTTATGTGACTGGAGTTTGTTTTAGAACTTTTATGCTATTTGTGGCTTTTTTGCTGCACTTTTTGAAACTTATTCTTTTTAAACTGTATTGCTTATTGCACTGTAGAGGCTGGTGAGAAACAGTATTTCGTTTCAGGCTGGGTAACACCATACGAAAATGACAATAAACGTCTTGAGTCTTAACACGTAGCGTACACCTTTTACGTCTCATGTTAACGAACCGGGAAAGGATTTTAACATGACATCGCAAAGGTTGTCACCTTAGCTTAAGGGAAATGTAAAGGCTTAAAATACTGCACAGTGAATGTAAACTCTCTAACTTGGTAATGCTATGCAAAATAGAATACACAGTGAGTTCCACAGTTGACGTCTTCTGTTATCGTTAGCTAGCATGCTAACTTTCCTGCGCTGCCCGTCATTTATTATAAGTTAACATTTTATACATGAGTCACATCTATGGAGCATTTATGTGCCCAGTGTCTTGATGAAGAGACAAAATCGTGCACTATGAGACTCGTGTTTCCAATGAAACATCTTTTACTGGATGAAATGCTAACTCACTGTTAGCTTTGATAGCGTCCATGAGCTCCGTCTTCACTTTAGCATCCTGTCGGTGACCGTCCATTGTGAGCAGGAACTTCAGCTGTGCTATCCTCAGGTCGGGGTTCTTGGGAAGACCCTCTTCCTCTAGATTCTCTAACGGCATTTTCGGGCTAAATTATATAAACAAATGAACAAACTCAAGCCTTTCTTTGAGTAGACAAAGCCTACAACGACTCGCCTTTACGCTAGTGAACGATGACTACGGAAAACACTGGACTCTGCTGTTTCCGCCGCAGCAGCTTTCAGCAAAGGGAGAAAAGAGCGGAGACAGACTGAAAGCTAACAAGAGACTTAGAGAAGTGCTGCCCCCTGTTGGAGATTAGTGTGAACAACGCCACTGTTATTGTGCGATTCGTTAATAATATATCTAAATATTAAAGCTATATACACACCATTCTTGAAAGTACTGACCATTTTCATCACTGTATTCACAGTTTTGCTCTCACTGTAAACAAAATCCAAGTCAAAGTCAAAGTCAGCTTTATTTAAAAAAAAAAAAACGTGTACAGATCATCCATAGGAATTTTAAATTGCAATGCTCCCACGGCCCTCAGTGTACACTAAAACAACATAAAGATAAAAAGCTAAAAATAAAATAAAAGTCTAAAGCGGGTGCAATAGGTGTCCTGGAGGGAGGGAAAAGAAACACCCACGATCCTCTCCGCTGCTCTCACTTCTCGTTTTATCAGCATGTGTAGCTTCCACAAACAGGAAGGGACACAGTGTAAACGTGAAGAGGTGTGTTGTCAAGTTATATTACTTGTTAAGGCAAATATCTAATCAGCAACACCTCAAGATGGAAGAAAGGTGATTTAAGTGACTTTGGTCTTGTTCGTGCCAGACATCAGAGGAGAATGGCCAGACTTGTTCACGCTGATAAAGAATCAGAATCGTGTTTATTGGCAAAGTATATGTGTAGACACATACAGGGAATTCCCCTATAAATAACTAATCTAAACTTATATACATAAAATACAGAAATGAGGTGGAATGAATACTACAGAATGTACATAAGGTGCAGTTGCAGTCTGGCAGTGGGAGCAGTGTGACAGGTCAACTGTTTAGAAGGGAGATGGCGAGGGGAAAGAAACTGTTCCTGTGTCGGGTGGTCCTGGTCTGCAGGCTTCTGTACCGTCTGCCAGAGGGCAGCAGATCAAAAAGTCTGTGTGCAGGGTGTGAGGGGTCTGTGATGATTTTCCCTGCCCGTTTCCTGGTTCTTGAGAGGTACAGATCCTGGATGGAGGGCAGGGGGCGCCGATGATCCTTTCTGCTGCCCGTACAGTCCGCTGCAGTCTGCTCCTGTCCTGTTTAGTGGCTGCTCCATACCAGACTGTGATGGAGGAGCACAGGACAGACTCAATGACCGCAGTGTAGAACTGGATCAGCAGCTCCTGTGGAAGACTGTACTTCCC